TTAGAGAAGATTGCTGCTGGGTTTCCACTGAGATCAGCAGATATATCTGATTTTTACAGTATGGATGTGCATCAAGCACCTTCTGAACACTTCATACCTGAATACAGGCTGTCAGTACATGTTTACCAAGTGAAATCTGGAAGTTTAACTTTGGACGTTAAATCTTTAATTATTCACTTCTGTTCACTTATTCATGTTTATCTTTACACAGTGGGGTTCCAAAGGTTTAAGACTTTAATTTAGCATATTTCTAAAAAAATAAATCATTACAAATTAATTCATCAAATGTAGCAATTTGAGTGAAAAATTAAGCATGTAAAATTAACATGCATTTCAGAATGTCTTAGTATTTGATTTGTTCCCAATGTCACAAAGTACCTATTTAATTAGAGACCTAGAAATAGTGCAGAATCCGTAACTTTTTTTTCAAAATTATTATTATTTCTTAAATTCTTTGTTTAGATTCCCAGATTTTTTTGGAACCCACTGTTTTGCAGACATTTTGGAACATTTTTGTTTTTAGTACCATTCGTCTGTTTCTGGTCTGTTAACTGTTAACTCGCTCAAGCAGATGTGCCAGACATGCTTGTATGAAAATGAACAGCAAGTGCATGTACGCTTCTAGCAAATTTCGCAGGATCGGAACTTGAAGCAACACATAAGACAGAATCAGTGGCACACATAGAACAGATGAAAAGTAAAAAAAAAAAAAAAAAAAAAAAGGGCCTCGTATTGGTCTCTTCAATTCTTTGCAGTGGTCATAACAGTTTCAGACAAACACATTATACTCTGTTGAATATTTTGTAATGCATACTCGACCTTGTGTTCACATAAGTTGTTTATAGTTCTTTATCACTTTAAGTGTCTAGGCATTTATAGTAAACAAGCTCCATTATAGCCCAGCCTGGTCAGAACTTGTCCGAGTTTTTGGCGTATCAGGTTTTCCAAAGCAAACTGCACTGCTTTCTCCCACATTTCTCATCTCCGTTTCCTGGCTTATGTAATGAGACACCTCCGGACTGATTTAATGCTGTGGAGGCTACTGTACAAGCTGTGGAATGTAGCCTGCAGGTTGGACAAAATACAAAGAGTCTGTTTGAAAGTTCATGCTGTTCTCTTCACCATTCAGAACAGTTATTATGTGATTTAGTTGAGTTGTCAGTGAATGTAGAGGTACAGGTCAATTCAGCATTGCAACAATTCCTGTTCAAATGCCTGAAACTACTTATACATGCAAATAGGGGCTCGGTATGTCTTCATGTGAAGACCATTCCTTCCTTATTCATAAAAGCCTGACATCAAAGGCAGAATTGAATGTGTTTGTTTGTAAGTGCATTCTCATGTCTTGCCTTAAGGGTAACTGTGTATCAAAGGACTGGGCCAGCGATCAAATGGCGCCAAGAATAAACTATTAGGCTACAAACTATTAACCAGATTCAGAATCAATGATGACGGCAAATGCAAAGTGATGCATGACAGATGCACAAGTTAATGAGAGGGTGTATGCACTCAAAAAAGAACATTAAGTCTTGTCTGAGAGGTGCACGGGGTGTGGCAGAGCACAATTAAAACTTTATCTTTTTCTCCCCAGAATGCACTTTTTTCTGTTCATTGTCAGGCTGCATGTTTTTTTGTTAAAGGGGTCATATGATGCTATTTTAAAGATACTTATTTTGTGTATTTGGTGTAACAGAATATGTTGACATGCTTTAATGTTAAAAAAACACATTATTTTTCTAATACTGTACATTATTGTAGGTCCTCTATGCCCCGCCTCTCTCAAACACGTTGTTTTCAACAAAGCCCCCTCCTTTGACAAGCGCAGTCTGCTCTGATTGGCCAGCTGACCCAGTGCATTGTGATTGGCCGAACACCACAAGCACGCGTCGGAAATGTAACACCCCTTACCATAATCGCGAGCTTCAGCTTTCAAAGTAAATATCAAGACAGTTAATAATGTCGTTAGTTTTACCATCAGTTCAAGCCGGAAAGGGCAACAGAGTCGCGTGACAGACACAGTGATGAAGCAGTACACAAGCCGCGGTTAAGACAGCTGACGTGCTATGATTTCTGACAGGCAGTTCACTCTCCTGTGATGTGACCCTGTTCCCCTCACACACACACACACACAACGCGAAATAAAGGCTATTTTCACACGATTAGAAATAGCCTTTGTGCACAGCCAGCCTTGTACTCTTCTAGGTTCAAAAAACTGTCGTCCATAAAATGCGTTGCACAAATTCGAACATCTGGGTTGTGCTGTTCTGTTGTAAATAAATCTTAACCAATGATTCCTAATTGCATCTACTTCCGGAAGGCCAAATAAAGTGCTTTTGCTTTCGCACTGAAACACAGCGTCGAGTGTTCTTTTTCAAAACTGCTGTACACTGAGTACTTATGTGCCGTGTGTCAGTTTGCAGATTCACCTCGAGGCTGTTGTTCTTTCTCTGATCTTGCACACGTCCTCTTCACTCTGCCTGCGAGGATAAAACATGACAGGGCTGATGGTTTTTCAGTTTCAACTTCTAAAGCTTTCACGCTTATGCACATGTGTGCTGCTTTTCATGTGGGTACACACACAGAAATAAGTGAAAAGCAGATGAATACAGGCTGATTTACATATAGCTGGAATGAAAGTCCTGGAAAATCAAGGCAGGTGCATGGTCAAAATATCATAATTCATTATAAGAAAAAAACGGCAAACTTCAAGACTTATATAGCCATAAGAGGTCAGTAAGTTATAGTAAGTCATATTAAATTGCATGGGATACTGTTTTGCATTGGGCCATGCTTTTATTTTATAACTAATTGATTGCCCTTAGAAATCAAAGTACAAAAAGAAAAACTTATTTTTTATTGATGTAAAATATAAAACAATAAATTAATGGTATTTAAATATTTAATTTAAATATAATTTTGAAGACCCCCCAAGAGCAAATGCATCTTGTAAAGTTTGAACCTCTAATATTTCACTTGCAAGCCCAAGTCTTTAACAAAGGAACAAACACATCAAATATATATATATATTTGCTTATTTTTTATATATAACATTATTTTTATATAAAGCAACAACATATTCAACAAGTTGGCACATTTATATTGAATTAAATAAACTAATTAAATTTCGTTTTTAAAAAAATAAAATAGTAAAAAAAAAAAAAAAAAAAAATGTATATCAGAAATAAACATATTCTGTTCAAAAGTTTCAGGTTGGTCAAATTTGTTATTGAAAGAGGTCTTTTTTGCTTACCAAGGCTGCATTTATTTGGTCACAAAATGTAGCAAAAACAATAATATTATTACCATTTAATGTAACTATTTTCTATTTTAATATATTTTCAAATGTAATTTATTTCTGAGATGCAAAGCTGAATTTCAGCATCATTACTCCGGTCTTCAGTGTCACATGATTTTTCAAAAATCATTCTAATATGCTGATTTGCTGCTCAAGAAACATTTTTTATTATTATCAATGTGCTGCTTAATATTTTTGTGGAAACTGTGATTCATTTTTTTCAGGATTTTTCGATTAATCATAGGCTATATATTGATTCAAAAGAACAGCATTTATTTGAAATAGAAAACATTTGTAACATTATAAATGACTTTACTGTCACCTTTAATGTATTTTAATTAATAATATTCATTTAATATAATATATTATTAAGCATTTGAATTTAAAGCTAATCATTGTATCATTTATGGCTTTTATTAACCTGCTCAGCAGATAATTTATTTGACCTGTGGTGTGTTATTACATTAGTGCTGTGTGTTTAACATTTCTGGTATTTCACACACAGCAGTGACCCAGACGGCGGTGACACACTAGCATAAGCATTGCACTTGGACGCTAATCCCCAAAAGGTGTTCTTATCTCTTGGATCATAAAACTCTCAGAGGCATACTTAACCTGGTAAAGCCACACACAGCCACCTACACCTCCTTTCATAATTGACTACCATACAAGGCTTGCATTGCCATCTGTTTACACAGACGCTCTCCAGCGCGCCTCCACCCTTCGCTGGTATCTGGTGTAGCTGGAAGTGGAGTGAATCAGCAGTCTGCGAGAGTGATCTCACTTTTATTCAGTATCTCTTTCTGTTGTCTGTGGTCACATCCCAGAGGATCAAACCCCTTTCTTCTCTGGTTCTCCTGTATGGACATGTTGACTCGGTTAGATGTAATCACTTCCTCTCAACTGTACAGAACGGATGTTACTTGATTGTCTCCAGAAACAAGTTTATTTGTAGTAAACCACAGATTAAATACATGAATAGACCTTTGTTTGCAATTGTAAATGCTTTGTCATAAATCAGTTTTGTCATTTTGAAAGGGAGACGGTTTGATATGTATTGAGCTTTTCAAAAATAACGACTGTTTCCATACAGGTTTCCCAAACACTCCCTCTGTTTACCATTGGTTGGACAAACCGATAGTCTTGTCCTAAAACTAATGTCATTGGTTGAGACATTGTCTATGTTTAGGGATGGTTGTGATGCTCAGACAAAAACATGTCAATGCTTTCATTAGCGTCACAGTGTTTGTTTTTTTCTGGGAAATCAACCTATAATATTGTACTCATACTTGTCTCTGCGTATTAAGCTAGGATATCAGAAAGCTATTTAGCACAGAAAAGATTACATCACCTTTAAATCGCTGGATTAAATACTTAATTACATAATATGATGTTTTCCCCCCATTCTTTTTTTGAGCTTTCACTTCTCCATCTTTCATATGCACAGTGTCTCATAGCCTTAAAGTAGGATTTTTGGTTGCCATAGAAATAAAGGTGTACATATGTTCCCATTATACTCATTACATGGGACTGTTTGCTGTGGAGATTACATAAAATAAAAGCCCAATTATAATTTTCTAATTGCCGGTTGGTTCCGGTGTCTTTTGGAAACTTGTCTCCCTCATAATATCATTTTCTCTAATTATCCATTCTTCACACACCGTGTTCTTGGGTCTCATTCTTGTCTCTTTTTTGTTCTACTTAGAAATATCACAGGAGTCACTGCACAACTACAGAATCTGATCGCCGAGACCTCATAGAAAATCTTACAGGTATTAACTTTTTTTTTTTTTTCCATATACAGACAAATATATGTAAACAGCCATGTTTGTATAATTGAGTGTTTCTTCAGCTATAAGGGCACTTGTATGTCCAGATTAATTATTGAATATGTTAAATGGTATATGTTATATATACCAGTTTCCACAAAAATCCACTGAAACAAATTAGAATGATTTATGAAGGACCATGTGACTGTAACGTGGGAGTCGTGACAGCGGAGTTGAAGATCCAAATGCAGGCTTTATTGCAAGAGTGGTCAAAACAGGCAGGGTCAAACAGCAGTAAACAGGTATAATCCAGGGCAGACAAAAGAGTAATCCAATAAACCAGCAATGGTCAGGCCAGGCAGCAAATGATCACAAAACCAGATAACAGTCCAGGGTCAAAAAATGCTTAAGGCTAACAATACTGAGCAATGAGTGTGTGTAAAACCAGGGCTGCGTTCAGCCCCGACAAAACGTTATTTTAAACAGAAACGGTGGTGTGTTGAATACCCTGTTCTGATGACGCAAGAGTTGCAACTATGGCAGCTGAGAAGGCATTTGTAAACAACTTTACTTGGACCCATTGTGCGAGCAGTCTCTTTAATACCGCGTGGTTTATATACGTGTTGCTGCTGATTGGGCTGACATTTTTGAAACACCCACCAAACAAGAGAAACCCCTGCATTATATTCGGAAGGGCTCATCCCTATGCACTAATCCCTTCAAAGGGTTTACCCTCCGGAGTGAGAGCGTCGAAGGGTTGAAGGGTGTAGGGGACCAAACAACTGTTTCTTGAAGTGCCCTTCTGTGTCATCATCACGTGCCCACACGGAGGCGCCGTCATCTTGCAAAGAATCTGTGCAAAGGATCATGGGAGCCCGAAGTGTCCATCAGTTGTACCCTTCGAAATCCTTCATTCCGAAGGGCCCTTTGAAGTGGCCAGTTTTGAGCACTTCGGTTTGGAACGACCCTTCAGTATGGCGGCCATGATTGTTTTCACTCCGAAGTGCCCTTCGGAGGGCGATATATCCCGTTTGGAACGCACCGAACACATCTCAAACCCCGTTGCACACCGTTTCCAGGAAACATGGCGTTCAACCCAGAAACCGTAGCAAAACGTTGCGCACCGGTTTGAACTTGAACGTGCCACAGGCTTTAAATAGGGTTAGACTGATGAGGAAACAAGACACAGGTGAATGCAATTAGAGATGAGTCCGGCAAAGGATTATGGGAAATGTAGTCTGGGATAGAGTGACAAGAGTCAGAGGTGGAGTGCCCTCTAGTGGAGTTCAAGGCACTCCAGCTGGAGATCCTGACAGTGACAATTAAGGCTGTAAATTCAGCTTTGCCATCACAGGAAGAAATTAAATTTTTATGTATATTCAAATAGAAAATAGTTATTTTAAAGTAGTAATATTTCACAATTTACAGTTTACAAATGAATGTTATGATACCTTTATTTGTTTTACCAGCTATTGTAAGTGAAGTACGCAATACAGAGCAAAGGATCAACTGTTGTAGACGACTGCAAAGAGAGAAAGCAGAATCGTGTCAAGATGTTGACTGATGAGGTCGCACAGGTGCAGGAGGTCAGTTTTGCCACCACCCACTCATTAACCTTGAGAAAAATGTGTGATTTGTACGAGTTTATAATCTCTGTGTTTTGTTTGTCTTCAGGTGAGATACTGTCTGAAGACTCTGAGAGAGCAAATGGCAGCCAGACAAAACAATAACAACAATAATAAGGTACTATATTGACATTTTACCTGTTCAGATGAATTTCTCAAAATCAGTATACTATATTATACACACTATTAGTTATATCAGTTATTTCTTCAGTTGCTCGTATTTTTCCCATCAGTTTGGAATGCTTTGCATATTTCTTCAAATTATTACTCTAAGCTGTCTCATTTGTAAATAATCTATCTTGTGCCCTAGATTCCATCCAATGGCTTTAAAGTTGACGTTCTTGTCAGCAAAGCCAATGGCTCCAATGGATTGGTGAATGGCTCTTTCACTAAATGTCCGGTAAACTATTTGTCATATAAAGATTATTCACTTGCACCATTATAAATACACACATGAATAGCAAGAATGTATAGGCTACTCACAAACACAAACAAACAGAAACACTCCCATAGAAAGAGAGCGAAAGCATTTAGTCCACTCGCTGTATCACATTTCAGTGGTTTTGGACAGAATTGAATGCCGTATTGTGAGTAAAAATAGCCCCTTTCCTCCATTAAGGGTATTAATCATTCAATCTCAAAAACCTTTCGAACTAAAATGAATAACTTCTCTGTTTGAAAATGGCCTGAAAATGGGAAGTCCTGTTCTCCTGTACGGACTCCCAAATAATAAAGATAATGGACAGTAGCAGATACAGTTCAGACTCTTTAATGAAAATACGATGACGTTCATAGATAAATAATTTGGCCAAAAAACATTACCACAGTTTTGTTCATTCTTGTTTCCTTGGTAATGTGCTGAGATTTGGGAGCGTACGCACATTAACCTTTTGCTTCTGCCTGTGAAAAGTCACACCCATGACATGATGCCCTTGGGAGCAGCAATTGCCAAACTTGTGGCTGCTCAGTAAACAACCCGTCATTATGCCTTCAACTACACACCTACAGCGCCTCCCATGCACACACAGTTTATTTTTACTTATTTAATAATTATTATTTTATATTTATATATTATAAGTCTAAGTTTTATACCTCCCACGTTTATACCACATCATTTTGCTTATTTTTAAATGCTTTTTAATAGATTAGATTTTATTTTACCCTTGTCCCAGATCCAGATTTGAAAATATGAAGATCTATCATGAAAATATTTGTATAAATCTATTACATTCTTTAAATAAATGTTCTTTTCAAAAATGTACCAAGTATATAAGAATATATAAAATATACTGAATAAATATAACTACACATCTACAGCACCTCCCATTTGCACAGAGTATATTTTTACTTATTTAAATAACAATAATAATTGTAGAAAATTAAAAAGCTAGAGTAAGAATTGAAAGCATATACTATACAAAAAATATACTATATAAAAAGTTCCCATATAACAAATATATTAAAAGAGAATATGTACTAAATATATGTACTAAATTATGATGGAGTGTCCAAAACTGCATATTACCATGCTTTTGTAATAGCATGGAAAGTTTTTAAGGTTAATAAAAAAATAAAAAT